GCGTTGCGGATGGCTGAGAGGAACTTCGGCCGGCATTTCCGTGGTGGAGGTGAATGAGAACAATGTATCGATACACGAGGTAAGCTTATCGTAATCAAGCATCACAGTGTATATCGATACACGAGGTTTGTTTACATCCATGTTCTAAAATGGCGCCTTGGACCGTAGAGGAATATGGGTAAAATGGCTTGTTCCGGGTTAACACTAAGCTGGGACCCCGTCTCTAATATCACGTTATTGTTTGGCGCAAGTTGACGACGCGCATAGGGAGCCGGGAACCAGGTTAACACGACATAAGCTGGTTCCCGGCTCTCTATGCGCGTCGTCAACTTGCGCCAAGTTATATTAGAGACGAGGCCCAGCTTATACACTGAACACGATCGGTCATTTCATCAAAACTGGCCAAATATTGAGATTGCAGCTGAGGTCATGCTGGCAGCTGAAGTGACACATTAAGGTAAGGAATATGTGAATATTACAATGATCACGTATTAAAGTAATTTACCACATGTAAGCCTGTCATATGTGACACAATAACTTTTATAGCCAACATGTAAGTAAATGTATAATTATATTTTTATATGACAAGTAGCCTGTCTATCATATGTTAGTATTTGCTTATGTATATAATGTAGAAATATGTTTTCTTTAACTGGATAATTTGTATGCTAATGTGACTCACTGTCTTATTTCATATACTCCCTGTACTCTGTGAGAATGATTAATAGCCTCAACATATTTTTCCAGATGTGAAGAATCAAGAACAGCTTTAATAACAGGGAAGTTTTGCATCAGAGATCATCGTGAAGTGGAAGATAAGACACTTTAAGGGTATGAACATTTTCACTTGAACTAGTTGAACAATAACCATGATGACAACTTTATCATGGGGGAATTTTTGGTGGTGGGGTAGCCTAGCGGTTGAAGCGTTCACTCTTCGTGCTGAAGACCCAGGTTTGATTCCTGCCACATAGCTGCGATATCGCTGAGTGTGGCGTTAAACATCAAACAAAGCTAACAGCCGCATACTTACTCACGTGGGGATTCCAGGTTGAAGTTAGTCCCCATCAACATGATCAACCTATGCTAGTTGTGAGAGATAACTTAATGGATCGGGTGATCAGGCTCGCTGACTTGGTTGATCCATGTCATTGTATCCCAATTGTGTGGATCGATGCTCATGATGTCAGTCACTGGATAGACTGGTCCAGACTTGATTATTTACAGACCGCCGTCATATAGCTGGAATATGGCTGAGTGCAGAGTTAAACAACAAACACCAACATGATTCTACAACCTGCTCTTGTGGATACCATTTTGAAGATCCTACACATAACTTCTTTTCGGGTCTTAACTATTGCAATATGTTCTACTACATGTGTTTTAAACATATTTTTTTTTCATAGTGAACTGGATTTGCAAACAAGCCGATGGCTTATCTAAATGATGCTGAAATACAAAATAAGTATTAATAAAATACTAATTCTATACTATTGCAAACTATCAGTTGAGCAATAATGTAATCATCTGATTATAAGTAGATAATGAAGGAGAAGTCCATATTGATTAAATCTACCAGATTCTGAGATAAATGCACGTATTGATTGATTTATTTCAATGTTTTCCTGTACATAATTTTCAACAATTCCATATAAAGCTTTCTTATATCATATCCATGCTGTATAATAATACCTATTATTTCTAATAATAGCATAATTTGGACACACAAATAAGTAATGAATGGTATTTTTATAACAGGTCCCACACATGCGGGATAGGTCATTTGACATGAATCAGTTTGATGTGAATTTAAATCACTACAAGCTGATCTGAGTCATGAAAGGATATGCCTTTGATTCTGTGAAAATGGAAATGCTAAAACATCTCCCAATATTAACCACTTGTTTTTGTATGTAAAATATTTTTGAACGATTACATCCATCTAATGATTGTTTGTATGTGTGATATGCCAGTAGAGGTATATGTGTACAGGCATGTGCATACGCGTAAAAAAATTATGTTTGTTTGGCTAGGTACCAGTATATGAATAGGTTGTTTTGTGCAACTTGTATATTAGCATCATTATAGTTTCAACAGACAGTTTATGTATATCAAATGTTAAATTTCTTTGTAGGGAGAATTGCATATCAAAACTGTCATTATTTTATTACTTATAAGTAGAACTTTTTAATTATCTGGCATGATACATTTCCTTGGTCCACAGAAACATGTTACCAGTAAACTGACTAGATAAGTAGCATAGCAGTCAGTGTGGTTGGAAACTAACTAAGCCGTCACTACTCAATTAAGTAATTAACAGACAATTGCAAGTGATAATACCCACCTGACACTAATTGCCGTAACGAGATGATAAACATCAACGGTGGGGCAGGCTTTGATCAAGTGTTCTGTAGAAGAGATTATGTCACTTGTTTTATGTTTATTTAGGATTAGCTACATCCCTTGATGCGACCAAGACCATACTTGAGATTATCAGACAGTTTGTCTGGATACAACCTGATGTCTCAACTGTACTTATTGGATTCTGCCTTGTAGCAAACTATGTGTGTGACAAGGACTTTGACCACTCTGTGCAGATGCATAACAATGCATAATGAACTTGGGGTATGATTCAATTATGTCACACAAGTCAAAGAGAGGTTCCACTGTATTTAGAAACAGACGATAGATGCAATACTGTGTAACTTTATAACAATCAAATGAGTACCGGTATTCAAATAGGAATACACATATATTTACAATTACCCTTGAAAAGTTCCAAACCAAATAGAACTACTTAAATTATGATTACACTTGACCAATATATTTGGCAGTTTTGGCCGTTATTGTTAATCTTAATTAAAGATAGGATAAATGATAAAAATATGATAATGCATATCACACACAAGTGTGTATTATACGCAAATAAATAAGTCTTGTATACATTGATTAATTGGAAAGGGTGCTAATTGGGATTGTTCACTAGGCAATATATTAGCAAATATTCCCGTGGGCGCTTATTAGAGCGAGGCGCTTATTACGTCCAATACGTTAGTTTTGTTTTTATGTATAAGAACCTATTTTATGCAATTTGCATTGCCTTGTTTACCTTTCCTTATGTTTTGATGTAATGCAAACATTTGAGAAAAATTCAGGTGAGCCTGCCTTATGGCACTACAGGAATTGTTTTCAGAAGATCAATTACAATTTTGTATTTTCTGTAAAATTTACTGTTTGCTATGGCTTTTTTACATTGGTTAACATGGTTTGGTTAACAGTTGCTTGATAAATTGTCATTACCTTACTCATTGAGAAACCAACTTTTTACCCTTTGTCAATATATATGTGTGTTTCTTATATTTTTAATAACAAGCTTTTAAAGATGTTATAAATTGTTTCAGGCACCTGGATTTCACAATGACACCAGATCAGACAAGTCATACAAAGGACTCTCCGGATGATGAATAATCCTCCCCAGAACAACTAACAGGTTCACCTCAGAAAGTGATGATTCTGAATGAATAATGCCACATCAGTGTGATTCTGTAGGTTGTTTTATTACGACATTAATCAAGTCTAAAGGAATTAATACCACAGCAGTGAGACTATGTTTATGTGGTGTACACTGACGCTGACTATACAAATCTGAATGACTTTTGTGGTTTACTGCACAATCATAATTGACTTTAGATATTCTTCCACCTTGAAATTCTTCTGAGATTTGACTAATTTGTTTATTTAGAAAATGGCATTGAAGCATCTGTTTCTGTTTTTGAATGTTCTTGCAAACACCTCTGGTTACTGAACCAATGAAATGTCATAAAATCAATAAATATGATTTTTTATCTTAACCATTTTTTTGTTTTGCTTCTTTAATGAAATATGATATTGATCATTCATAACATAGGTGCTAACATATATCAAATATACTAATGCCCTGAATGTTTTCCTACAATTAATACAGCTCACTGAACGAAGTTTTTAGTTCCATGTCAGTAGAAAAGTTACATTGATATTTTTATGTACCAGAACTTTATTAGGTGTTTTCTGTGGATGCCATTAGTCTTATGCACCCATTTGGGTTAATGATATTCTGTTTCGAACTTCAATGAAACTCGTCTGTCAAGATGTAACAAGTATTGATACAGTTCCAAAATAATCTTTTAATCTCACCAGGAACAAAGGCCCAAGTCAGCACATAGCCAATGACTTTCATTTTTTTGTCAGAGTGAGTATGGTGTTATGCCACTTTATGAGAAAAATTCAAACAATATCATGATGGGTGACACCAAGCAATGTACCGATGTGGTGAATCGAACGCTTCAACTACTAGGCTAGAACAAACTGGGAATATGAAGATGAAATGTAAGGATACCATCATACCAGGACTGAATGCTTTTCATTTAATACTCTGAACATCTAAATTGAAATATATATGAACTTGAAAAATGTTTTCACCAAAAGTACATGCCCATAGATCTCAACTTCAAGGGGATATTTACAACTAAAATAGCACATAATATTACTACAGCTATCTGCTATGCCCAGGCTAACATTATTTACTAGGAGAAAGACATCTCAAAAAATTGCATCCGGATACCTGCCGGATACCTGCCGGATACCTTCAGCAATGTTCAATTTTCATGGTTAGTTTCCAATATATTTTTAGGTGTTTCACACTTAATTGAACAAAATGCACCCCCCAAATTGTGACATGTTTTTGGAAACTCAGAATGAGGTATCCGGTGCCGGATCCCTGGACACCCAGATGGAGGTATCCGGTGAGGTATCCGGTGCCGGATACCCGGATTCCAGGTGACATACTTTCTGGTGAGGTGTCCATGCCGGATACCACAGATCTGGTATCCGGCAAGGTATCTGCCACCGGATACCCGGACGCGTTTTGGGTAAGTGTCCGGTGGTATCCGGCAGGTATCCGGATACCGGAAACTGCATTTTTTTTGCTGTGTTTCATAACCATCACTCAACGACCCACCCACCTTATAATAAATGACCAGTCCATTCATCATTCCGGTTCCATCAGTGTGGCCAGAGCATCGTCCACGGAATAAACAAACAAGTGGTGATCGTAAACAACTGAGTCACTGTCAATGTTTGATTATCCATCCGGGTACTAACCAAGTATTGCTGTGGGTGTCGGGCAACAAACATCTTTTCATGAAAATTGTGTGATTGGCGGTTGTTTCTGGTTGGGCAAGACATGCTTACCCGATTCGCAAACACCTGGTGTCATCACTGATTTTCAGTGATCCTTTCACATGATTTTCACTTCTACACGAATTCCGTATAACTGAAACTAGCTTCTTACTGGAAGAGTTACTTCCCTTCAATTATGCAACTCATGACAGATGACAGAGCAAACAGATATATCCACTCAATCTTTATTCAAGACATACACGTTTCAAAAAATCTGTCATGGAAGTTTGAACTTTACCACATTTTGAGGTTTGAATTTTAAACAATAATTCCAAATTGTCCAGATCGCCTGTGTTCCCGTAATATGTAATCAAGGTCTCTATACAAGCACAAGCTTCCTTGTGAGTGACTGTAGTGGGTTGGAGTGCGTGTCGCTTACGTTTCGCTGGTTCACAGGCCATACTCACAGTTTGAAGTCACAACTTTGACCTCTGACCTCCACATACGCCATATTTGTCGAATGGGATTACAATAAACAAGCTCGTCTCAAACGTAACTCAGTGTCACTTGGTTAATTGACTTCTCACGAATCAAAGGATTACCACCAGCGGAAGGATTACCACCAGCGGAAGTGTATTGTTCGGGTAAGTGAGACAATTTTGTGTGCATTTCAGTGTTTTGTGTATGAAAATGACCGTCCGGTTCCGGAAACTGAATTTCCGCATATACGGGTAAATTTATATAGTAATTATGTCGTTTTGAATGAAAATCGTCCGGGAACAGTTTCCGGGTATCTGAAGTCCGTATAAGCGGGGCATGACTGTATTTACATTTTACGCCGAATGGAATCTGTTTAGTCGGGTAATCGAGACGGGTGACGTGTAAAGTATTCTTACAATCTACACTGAAATTAACTCCATTTCGACCTGGGTTAGATAAGATTCCCAGCATTTGATGTGACTAAACTGACCAGTTTCACGCAGTGGGAGATATTTTTGTAAAACAATAGACCTCTCCAGTTGGAGGAACTATTGTATGTTCCAGCTGAATGCTACATACCTCTGTCTCACTGTAGTGTAACACTCCAACTTACCCTGTGTCTCAATAGCCGTCTCTCCACCCGCGACAGTGTGACGTAGTGACGCAATGCGGGCTGGGACGATTTGCTGATACGCTCGGGAACAAGTCAAAACAGCCTAACGTCAAACCGGAAAAAATCAAAACGGCCAAGTCAAATGTAATTCTTATCATGCACATACAAATAATACCTATATTGATACTAATATTACATAACACTGAGAAATGCGCTGGTATACTCTGACCCGAACAAAAACACATTTTATAACCTGTGCTGATATGTATTACACTCACTCACTCATTGAAATAATCCACTCTCTCACACTACTCTCTCTCACTCACTCATTGAAATAATCCACTCACTCTCACATTACTCTCACTCACTCACTCCACTCTCACTCACTCACTCATTGAAATAATACACTCTCTCACACTACTCGCACTCACTCACTCATTGAAATAATCCACTCACTCTCACATTACTCTCACTCACTCTCACACTACTCTCACTCACTCACTCCACTCTTACTCACTCACTCATTGAAATAATCTACTCACTCTCACATTACTCTCATACTACTCTCACTCACTCACTCGACTCTCACTCACTCACTCATTGTAATAATCCACTCACTCTCACACTACTCTCGCTCACTCACTCATTGAAACAATCCACTCACTCTCACACTACTCTCACTCACTCACTCTTTGAATTAATCCACTCACTCTAACACGTCTCTCATTCACTCACTCCACTCTCACACTTCTCTCTCTCTCACTCACTCATTGAAATAATCTACTCAATCTCACATTACTCTCATACTTCTCTCACTCACTCACTCGACTCTCACTCACTCACTCATTGAAATAATCCACTCACTCTCACATTACTCTCACTCACTCTCACACTACTCTCACTCACTCACTCCACTCTCACTCACTTACTCATTGAAATAATCCACTCACTCTCACATTACTCTCACTCACTCTCACACTACTCTCACTCACTCACTCCACTCTCACTCACTCACTCATTGAAATAATCCACTTACTCTTACATTACTCTCACTCACTCACTCATTGAAATAATCCATCACGCTCACTCTCCACTCTACTCTCAATAGCTCACTCCTCTCTCACTCACTCACTCATTCACTCCACTCATTTATTCCGCTAACTGCCCCGTCGTGATATTGCTGGAATATTGCTAAAAGCGGCGTAAAACGATACTCACTCACTCCGCTAGCTGGCTCTGGCAGTCATGGAGTAGCGATATTACATGCACTCACTGTAAACTGTAGAACACACTTAAGACCCCGCCCCATAAAGTTCCTACAAAACGTTTTAAGTGACATGTTATTTTGTTGACAGAATGAGGCACACACTTTGATTAGGAGACAAAAGGCAATTGGAAGGAATATTGTCATAACGACCGTTTTGGGACAGCCTTTGTCTGAATAATCAAAGGCTAATTTCCCTGTAGCCATGACATGTATAGAATCACTTGCTTGCCATAACTTTAAGATGTCGATCCCGATTTTGTTTCATATTGACTGTCCGCCAGTCGTGAGCTTTTTTTACTTAAGTAATGACTTCCCACGTTCATACAGTTTGGCCCTCACTCCATGAAGGTTCACACTCCAATGAACTCACCCAAAGTGAAAGTCAATTCTTATTATTTTTTTATATCACAATGTCATACCCCGAGGGATGTGGCGCCAGATCTATAGTGTGACTGAATAGTTTACACTGACAGCCATACAACAACCAGCTGTATTGTGCAATATAATAGTTCCCCACAAAAGAGAGGTGACTCTGACAGAAGAACATATGTTGTAGTTTGTTTACAACAAATGTATTTAAATACTATCATCATTGGGTGAGAAAGGCCTGTTAAGAACTACCTCAGTCTAAGATCTACATCAAGTAAAAGAAGTCAAAATGGCACACACGATAAATGTGACGGGAGATATTTTCGAAGTTGCTCATGAACCTGTGGCGGTTACATGTGTTAACCATCATTGGTCAGTTGGCCGATCATGGAAATGTGATTATAGAGACGTGTCAGATAGATACTAGGGTAAATTCATAGATTGCTGTCGACTGTAACTGTTAGTCTCGACACGATACTTCGATGCTAATGTGTTCTACGTTTTGTTCACAAGGATTGGTCATAGCGAGGAAAGTCATTAACAATCATGCAGACAAAGTGTCTAACGTTACTCAATGTATACCAAAACGCTGAGTGCAGGATTAAAGGGTCTTAATGTTCAGAAAGAACGCTTTTTTGGATTCATGCAAAAGAATTTTCAGAGTTTTCCCCACGAATGTGGAAGTTGTCCGTTAGGGTTTATGTCATTTCAAGAATATAGCCTCGTGAAAAACGTCATGTGACCGGCCTCTCCTCCTATAGAAATGATGTATACCGATATTACATAAGGATACACAAACGCTTCTGTTATAATGTCCTTCTCAAACTAATCGAAGCTAAAGTCTCAGTGCCTCTCATAGAAGAAGCTATTGTCCTATTGCTATTCTCTAAAGTCTCAGTGCCTCTCATAGAAGAAGCTATTGTCCTATTGCTATTCTCTAAAGTCTCAGTGCCTCTCATAGAAGAAGCTATTGTCCTATTGCTATTCTCTAAAGTCTCAGTGCCTCTCATAGAAGAAACTATTGTCATATTGCTATTCTCCTAAGTCACTGAGTTTGAATACAAAGTGCCAGTGAGTGAGTTGGATTTAACGCCACTTGTAACAGTATCTCGCGTCGTGTCAGCTTAATGTGGGAGGAAAGCTCGAAGTGATGCAGGTCTCAGACGTTTACCACTTCGGTGAAACCCACGAGCACGGGTATGATGCTGACAAACCTAGAAACATAATGGGGGCGAACCGGGATTCGAATCCACAATCATAGGTTCCTGGCGTGCCCAAGGTACGCAACTCTGCACAGCGAATCGCGGTGCCTTAGACAACTGGGTCACCCTTGCCCCTTCAAACTACCAGAGACACCCCCACCCCTATTTATGGTATAATGTCAAATGATTTGCACCATGCTTGTTAACTTAAAAAAACACACACATGGAAACCACTGTCTAATAATCAATGGAATTTATGGAATTTATGAACAGGTAGACAAGGCATTGAGCTGACTAAAGGTACTTCCTGCTTGGTGACCTCATTTGCATATTCATCGGATCGTGATACCACGTTTATCGTATTGGTTGATCACATCAACGTCACTGTCTGGCATCTGACAACCGTGGTCTGTAATGACCCCATGGTGTAATCAATAGCCCGTGTGCCACAGAGTCATGTAATGTATATTATGTACTTCAGATTGGACATTCCTTCTACTTGCTCATGCCTTCAGTGGCTTCACACAGCGTGGGTATAACAATTACACTATCTCAAGTAACAAAGTCATGTATACTTGGAACGCACACTCAAGTGTCACGCACATTCACTCACGTAATGTGTCATTGTAATGTGTAAGGTGTAGTGAAACAAGAGAAACACCCGCAACACCTAAAGTACATTCAGAGATAAACCTTGGACACGACAATAGACGCCCAATCACCAGCCCCGCCTGAAAGTAGCATAAATTACCATGTAGAGAAACCGGCACGTATTGAAAACGTATTGAAAGGTATTTAACTCACGAGTCCTTATGTATAATGTTAATGACAGAAGTCTATGGATACGTCGGGTCAACCACTGACAGTGACAGTCTCCGAACTCACGACAAGCTGAGTGTAACGGATGTGGTATCTATATCCAACAACCAGCAGTGATACAACCATTGTTCACATCACCTTGATCTATTGTCGTCTTCATGTTTGAGGCAGAACATCACAGTCGTACGACCTTTGGATGATATAGTATTTAACTGACCAATACCGATCGTCTTATAATTTTGTTCACATTTTGAATTCAAAACCAACCAGACACAGAATCCATTTGTTTTGTTCTACAAAGGAGTGCTTGGTGAGAGTCCATTGGTAATTGATTCGGCTCACTCCCAGATTGGGTTAGAGTAGATTCCCAG